AAGATCAAATGTCCTGCAGATGATGAATTGAGGCATTTGAAAATGTTTTGCAATTCACAGCTCATTTCCCTATAGACAACCCTGACCCCGCGTGATTTGGAGACCAGACTGGCTGGTCTGTCTGTTCCAGAACACCAGGGGCGGATGTCAGGATGGAGCATTGTCCTCGGGTTGGTTCATCCCCAAGAGAATCACGCTCAGTGCCTGAGATGGCACCAATGATCCCCAGTAGAGATGAAGGAAGGGCTTAGATGCCACCATCTTGCACAATTTCCGGACTGATCCGGCAGAGGCAAGAGTGGAAGTGTGTACTGGAGAGGTGGGACCCTGCTGGTCCTCTGGGCTGGAAGGCTAGATTCCCTTCCCCACTCAGCCTCAAGTCTGAGCTATGGGCAGTGAGGTTTAACTGCCCACTACTCCGCCAAGCTCCAAAATGTGTAAGATCAATCCCTAGGCTTTTATGGACACTGTGGGGATCTGGTAGCCAGCCAATCAGGGATACTTTAGTAGTGAGTGCCACATGATTTATACACCACTAACCTGAATCTGCTCACGTAGCCCTCGCAATAAACTTAAGGGGTAAGATTTTTTATTTCACGGAGGCTCAGAGAGGGGACATCACTTTGCTCAAGTCACAGAGCAGGTTGGTGGCAGACCCAGGTTTTGAACTAGGTCTCCTGGTATCTTTGGGGAGAGGGATGGATTTTTGATTACTTCTATGCTCTTTTTGACAGTGCAAATGTTGGTAGTAGAGATTTGCCTAGAAAATTGTCCAGATTTTGAAAAATTTTGATGCAAGATCACACATAAAATTTACGTATAATTTTAAGTCTCTGGAATTTTTCTCTTGTGTCTTTGTTTCTCATTAGGAATTGCTATAAGCTTTGTCTATTTGATTTTTTTTAAACATGTTTTGTTGATTCACTTAAAGTAAATCTGCTTCATTCATTTCTGCTCGAATCTTTGTGGATTCTTTTCTTCTTTCTCTTGCCAAGGTTTTCTAATTACTGTGTTTTCTCTTGCTACCTTCTTGCTTTTCTAACATTTTGTTGGATTAATCAAATTTTCTTTGTTTTTTTTTCTTTCATGGTTTGTTAGTATTTATCTTCAAACTGAAAGGTATATTTTAATTGTGTATTTTTCTGCTATACCTGAAGTTGCAAAGCACTCATGTCCTTTCCTTAAACAAGACTCAACCCCCAGCAACTTTTCGTTCCTTCTGTCCCTCTTACAGCTCTCTTCCTTACTGAGATCACTTTGGATTTTAGAGCTAGGCTGTTATTAAATCGTATTACTCTTTCTTTGCTCATAACTGCTTCTCATATGTAATATATTTCTTCTGCATCCTTCATTTATTTTGCTGGAGTACATCCTGCAGTGATTCTTTCAGAAAAGGTGACTGGTAAGCTTTCCGAGTTCCTGTGCATCTGAAAATGTCTTTATCTTGCCTTTGCCTTTGAAGGAGAGCTTGCCTGGGTGTGGAATTCTGGGTGCTCGATATTTCCCCTCCGAAATTTGAAACCATTGTGTTTCTTGATGAATCTGGTGCTGCTGATGAGAACTCTAATTTCAGTTTATTGTGGGTAATCTGCGTTACTTTCCTTTCTACAGCATTTGGGATTTTTGTCTCCATCCTGAGGGTTCTGACATTTCAGCACGATATGTCTGTTTGTGTTCATCTGGTTTAACACTCAGTGGGCTCTTTTGGATTAAGGAATCATGTCTTTCTCCAACTCTCTTTATTCTTTCTTCAAGTACGTACTTCCCTTGGCTCTCTCCAATCCCCCATTCCGGAGCTACTAATAGACATATGTCGGCACGTGGTCTCTCCCCTGGGTCTCTCACTTCCCCCCCACCACACACACTTCCCACCTCCTCTTCCCCCTGCAGTGCATCCTTGGAAAGTTCATGGCTCGGATTTCCGGCTCACCCGCTAACTCTCTAGCTGTGTCTATTCTGATTTTTCAGCCCATCTGTTGTGCTTTTGGTTTTTACAGTCGTATGTTTCATTTCCAAGAGATCTCGTTTTTTCCATTTCATAATATTTTTTACAAGGGCACAATTCTCTTATCTCTTTGAGGACATTAATTATGTTTTAAAAAATTGTCTTCATTGGTTTGCTTTATTATCTTTTCCTGAGGTGTGATTTATTGTCTGTTGAGTTGGTGCTTTTCTTTCATGGTGTTGGCCTTTTTTTTTCTTGAATACTTTGAAATTCTTGGTATTTGGGGATTTCCACTGGCTCGTCTCTGCTCTACTATTTATTGCTGCTTTGCCTCTTGGAGGGTTGGTAGTATGGGTAAGGGGTAGGGAAGGAGTGTGCAAGAATTCAGTTGTATAGGGGTACCTGGGTGGCTCAGTTGCTTGTGCCTCCGACTCTTGGTTTCGGCTCAGGTCATGATCTCAGCGTCCTGGGATCAAGCCCCATGTTGGGCTCCAGGCTCAGCGGGGAGTCTGCTTCTCTGCCTCTCTGTCCCTCTCCCTCTGCCCCTCCTCCTGCTCTAGCTCTCTCTCTCTCTCTCAAATCAATAAATCTTTTTAAAAAAGGAATTCAGTTGTATAAACTTGAGAGGGTCTCCGTTTCTCCTGGGGGTCATCAGATTTTGGAGCACCCTCTCCAACCACACCTGCCTCAAGGCAGGTGAATCTAATGCCTGATTCTTGACACCAGCAGGGGTAGGGATCCGGGTCCTACCTGTCTGACTCCTTGTACCATGGTCCTCTGACAGTCACCTCTGGGTCCCTCCCCTATCCCATTAGCCACATTAGCTCTTTTCCCAAGTTGTGCCCACATTTACCACCGATCTGGAGTCTTCCCTGTTTCCGGTTGGACTTTCCTCTTTCAACTTAGTTCCACCTACTTTCAGTCTCTCAAGTGTTCCTCAAAATTTCTCGACCACGGCTTCTTTGTTTTCCAGTGCTGTTAGGGACTGATTTTTTATTTTTTTTATTTACATTTTCTGCTTTATTGAGTTATGAGTGACAAAATTAAAAAGTGTTATTTAGGTTGTACAATACGCTTTTTTCCCCCAAAGGTATACAACGTGATGACTTAATATACATATGCATTGTGAAATGGTTACTACAGATTATTAACACATTCATCACCTCACATAGTTACCACTGTTTGTTTGTTTGTTTTGTGGTGAGAACACTTAAGATCTCTCTTAGCAAATTGCAAGTATGCAATATGGAATTATTAACTATAATCACCCCGTGATTATATATATAATACACAGATAATATAATAATACACATACATATAAATCTAATGTGTATGTTAGATCCCTGGAACTTATTCATCTTATAACTGGACATTTGTATTCTTTGACCAGCATCTCCCCATCTCTCACACTCCCCAGCCCCTGGCAATCCCTGTTCTACTCTCTGGTTCTATGAGTTGGATGGTTTTGGATTCCACATGCCAATGAGATCATACGGTATTTGTCTCTCTGTGGCTTATTTACTTAGGGTATTGTCTTCCAGGTTCATCCACGTTATTGCAAATGGTAGAATTTCCATCTTTTTTATGGCTGGATAATATTCCATCGTGTGTATATGTGTGTGTGTGTGTATTTTCTGTATTTTCCTTGTCCATTCATTCATGGATGGACACTTTGGTTGTTTCCATCTTGGCTATTGTGAATAACTTTGCAATGAGCATGGGCATGCAGATATCTCTTCTAGATACTGATATTAATTCCTTTGGATATATACCCAGAAGTGAGATTCCTGGATCATATGGTAGTTCCATTTTTAATTTCTTCAGGAACCTACCATAATGGCTGTACCAATGTCCATTACCATCAACAATGTACTGGAGTTCCTTTTTCTCCACACCTTCGCCAACACTTGTTGTCTCATGTCCTTTTGATATAATAGCCATCCTAACAAGTGTGAGGTGATCTCTCATTTTGATTTGCATTTTCCTGGTGGTGAGTGATGTTGAGCACCTTCTCATATACTTTTGGCCATCTGTATGTCTTTAGAAAAATGTCTATTCAGGCCCTTTGGCCATTTTAAAATCAGATTATTTGGTTTTTGGCTATTGAGTTTTATGAGTTCCTTGTATGTTTCAGATATTAACCCCTTATGCACGGTTTGTAAAAATCCCAAAGCTCCTGCAAGGGCATTTTTGTCCATGGAGGGCTGGCAAATTATCGTTACTGAGGAGAGATATGAGTGGGGGACCTCCTGTCCCACCATCTTGCTGATGTTGCAACAGGGACTTATTTTTAGATTTTAAATTTCTAGGATCTGGGGAGGGGGGGAATGGGAGGGGCAGGTGGGAGCACGGGCTGCTGTTGGATCCAATCACAATATTGTTTGCGTATATCAGCCCCGCCCCCCCCGGCCCCGCGCCACGTCCCAGCTCAGGGTTCTGCACCAGAGAAATTTTTCTAAACTCAGACCCATTGAGGCATTCCCCTGGTCAGAGTCCTTCAGGGGCTCCCCACTGACTTCATGATAAAACCCACATCTAGCCTGGCAGGTACCACGTCGCTTCCTTCCTCCCGGCTCCTCCCTTCCCTCCCGCCTTTGGGCCGCGTGTGATTGCACTTGCTGTGGGCTGACTCTTACCTTTCAGTACCCAGGTGGTTGGTCTTTCTCGGGACCTGGGTTGGGTGCCCTCCTCTGTTCCCATAGTTCCCCGTGTACATCTTTTGGTTGAACCTATGGCCCCGTGTTCCTGTGGGTTGTAATCACTTCCCTCTTAGTCTTCCTCACCAGAGTGGGATTTCCCGGTGGGCAGGGGTTCATTCCGAGTGTTTGAAGACAGAAATGGTGGGTGCCAGGGCTTGGTGGCCAAGGTTGTGGTGGGTACTTCCCTTTCCCCTTAGTCCTGGACTGAGGGTCTCAGTGAACCCCTTACCCGGGAGAACGAGCACCCCCACCCCGCAGCCTTATGGAGGGACCCCTCCTTGGCCAGCATGACCTTTTGCCCTGCAGTCAGCACCTCAGGAATAGAAGGGCTGACATGACTATTGCTTTCCCCACAGGCACTGGTGCCATCACACGGTGACGCGGACGGTGTCCTGCCAGGTGCAGAACGGCTCGGAGACAGTGGTCCAGCGTGTGTACCAGAGCTGCCGGTGGCCGGGGCCCTGTGCCAACCTCGTGAGGTAAAGGCTGTGGGGCGGGCCAGCTCTGCCCTTCCTTTCTGTTCCCTTGGGTGAATGCAACCCCAGCACAGGCTGCTGGGGAGGGGGGTTTGACGCTCGGAAACAAGAGCTGAGTGTGCGTTTATGGGGCACCTTTTGTGTACAGAGCATGGGGATTATGTGTGGGCAAGATGAAAGGGACATGCTTCCCACCCTGAAAGAACTTCACAATCCGGTAGGATTTGATGAGCAGAAGAGCACCATAGACAGGAAGTGGGGTGAGGGGACTGAGGGATGGGGGAGAGCCAGGTGAGGCCCCTCTCGGGCCCGCCCACGACGGCCCCGCCCCCTTTACGCCCCGCCCCCCACAGCCCTCAGGCAGCTTCTCAGCGTTCGCCTGATGATCCTTACTTCTCACAACTGCCCTTTGCCTTGGGACTGAAGCAATGATGTGAACAGTGTTCACATCAGACCCATCACATCACATCAAGACCCACTGCAGGGTCTTGTCCTCCGTGTGGGTGTTTACAGGCCCCCTGAGAGTTCTCTCCCTCTCCTTGGCATGAGGAGCTCAGAACAGAATGTTCGGTCACAGCAGATAGGAATTTGTCCTGAGCCATCCCTTTGTTGAGTAAGACTTAATGCTCATTCTTGAGAGGAATTCCATATCTCTGGTCTCAATTATCATTGCCACTTAAGTGGCTATTATCTGTTAAGGAATGAGGGTTTAAGGTACTTTCCTCTCTCTCCAGTAACTCCTATCCGAGTTAGGGTTGGGGTGCATCCCCTCTGCCTATGGCTGGGCAGGGAGAGGGAGGACAGTAGGGTTCGGCACTGTCCCCAGCTCCCTGGCGACGTGGGGCACCATGTGCACTCTTGTCCCGGGGCCTGGTTTTGCTGGCTTTGCATATACGAGGCACTGTTTGTAGTAGCTGCTCTCTGGTCTTCCCACCTCCCCCATCCCCTCCACGTCCTCTATCAGATCACGGCACTGCTCCAGACCTTCCAGAAGCTTCCATCTCTCTTACAGGGCAGTCTCTACCCCTCTCCACAGCTGATCAAAGTCCGGACACGGACCCTGTTTCCCTCCCGACCCCAAGGCCCTCCACGAGCCACCCTGGTCCTGGGACTGTGGCCACACGGACCTTGCTGGCCTGGAGACTCCGTCCTTCCTCGGGGCCTTCACGTTTGCTGGTCCTTCTGCCTGGCCTGGTTTCATGCCGGAAATAGCTGCATCTCCTGACCTAAATCAGTGCCTTTCCTCCCCGACACCCTGTCACTTTCCAGGGGGCCACAGGAGGGCAGGAATTGCTTCAATCTCTCCTGTGCCCCTCCTCCCCCTGTGCCTCGCGTTCAGGAGCTCAAGAGATACTATTGAACTGATGGCTCAGTATCAGGAGGATGAAATGAGATCCAAGAGGTCAGAGCACTTTGAATTCACGCACAGGGTGAACCGTGAATACTGCACTTCATTCTGGCAGAGAGCCCTTGTCTTATAAACTAATGCGCACACTTGCCATCGGGAGTCTGACGTTCAGAGCAAAGTGACTTGCCCAAGGTCAAAAGAATCGTCACAGGGATGAGGTCGGGTTCAGACTCTGGCCCGTCAAACAGGCCCCATAGGGATGTGCCTGAGGTTTCATGGCCCAGCTCCCTTCCTCCCCCAAATAAATATGTGTTGACCTCCTCCTGTATCCGCGCTCTGGGGAGGCCTCCTGTCCTCTGTGAGAACCCAGACCAGGCCCCGACTCAGGGAGCCGATGATCCAGTGGTGGTGGCAGGGGCATTAGTCAAACCACGACAGAAACAGGCACTTGGTCACAGATCATCACTGCTGTGTGGGAGCAAGGTGCCCTGAGGGTGGCGCTGGAGATGCGGTGGGGACCCCCGACCTGTGGGCTTCCCTGAGCCAAAGATATTCTCAAGATCTTGGGCACCTTTGATTTCACCCTCTGCCAGCTCCTGTGTCTGCCATATTGTTCCTCAGGGTCACAGAAGGGCGGGAGCAGCTCCGGGCATCAACAACAGTGTCCCAAATAAATGAGAAAGGGAATGTGGCATTATGTTCTCCTATCAAAGGGCACTGTCTTTTCCAGAGTCCCCCTGCAGACTCCCCTGATGTCTCACTGGTCCGAATTTGTCCTATGACCCTGGGTGTCCCTGACTCTAAAGTGGGGGTGGTAGAAAGCTTCCCTGGGAGGCTGTTGGAGGATGATGTGAGGCGGGCATGTAAGAAGTGCTCTGGGAATGGAGGCTGAGGCTGGGCCATGCTGAGATATGAAGCAGATCCTGGGCATATCGCTCCCCCGCCCACCCACCCCCACCTCCGAGGCAGCCCCTAGTGGGGGTGTAGGCCTGGGCACGCTCTGAACTTGCATTTTTCCACACAGAGGTTAGGGTGGCAAACCCCAGCTGGGCTCCCATAGCTGCCTTGTGCCTTGTGTTGCTTATAGTCCTGGCTGCCCAGGGTGTCTTGCCACATTTCAACCTCCTCATTTACACAGAAGCTTCCAGGTTTCGGTATCTTTTTGCCTTTGCTGCCTGTGGAGCTGTGGGAGATGCAGCAGGACCGAGCAGGACCAAGACCCTGCCTACCCCCACCCCCTGGTCCGCAGAGCAGAGTTCCTGGGACATATGGCCTTCTACCCAGGCAAGAGGAACCCCTTGTCCTGGCCCTTCCTTCAGCCATACTCGTCCTCGTGGGGCAAGGAGTCTGCGAGCCTAAGCCCCTCTTCTGGACCATTCTCTGGGTACCTGGCTAAATAGCCCTGAGGGCTTCTGGGTCTGCCCTAGCCTCATCCCTGAATCTGGGGGACTGTGCGCGGTGGGCACACCCCCATACCCCATGGGGGCTGGTGAGGGTGGCTGTTTGTAAGAGTGGCTAGCATGGCTGTTGCTGGGTACTGGTGCTAAGGCGTGTCTAGGCCAGTGTCTGGCCGGGATAAACCCCAGTGCTTTGGTGTAGCTCTGAGAAGAGACGCAGATGTCAGGTGAATGAAGAGTGGCTGGCGAGAGAGTGCAGGGGTGAGTTTCCTGCCCGAGGGCGGGGGCACCTTCACTGGCATCTTCCTCCATGCTGGGTCTGGGGAGAAGGGGTTTCTGCATTTCCGTGTGGTTAGATTTGGGGATCCGCATGGCCATAATCCTTTGTGAGGCCTCTCTTGGCCGAAGGCTCTGAAGTCAGCACATTATCTCATTACATCCTGATGACATTTTTGTGACCAAAGTGTGCAGGTGGGGGAAGGGAGAGCGTGGTTGTGAAAACTTTGAGGCCCTATTCAGAATGCACTCGGGGGCTGGCATGGGCCCCCACCCTCTCCACCAGGAGCCCCACACAGACCTCTTTGCTTGCATTTATTCTTTGACTCAACCCTTTCTGCAAATATTCATTGAAGGCCCTAACTATGTGCCAGAGGGGAATGTGATGGAAAGTAAGACCAAGTCTTCTTCCTCATGGGGTTTGTATTCACCTACATATGAAAATGAGAAAAAATATCGCCTCATAATGAGTGTAGGAAATTAAGATAGGGGTGATGTGACTGGGCATGAATTGGGACGAGAGAGAGAGCAGGCACGAGAGAGACCCTGAAAGGATGATGTTGATGCTGAGCAGAGTGAGGAGAAAGAGCCTCCATGTGATGACTGGGTGAGGATAGTTGGTGCAAAGGCCCTGAGGCAGGAAGGCCCTAGATGAAGGCACAGAGAGTAAGTCAGTGTCCAGAAGCAGAGCAGGTGAGGAGGGGAGTATAGGCCAGAGACTGATCTCCAGGGCCTTAAGTTTGGACTTTTTATTTTTATTTTTTTAAATTAAAATTTTGAAAAAAATTTTTAATTTTTTTTAAAGTATGGATTTTATGCCAGTGTACTGGGAAGCCATTGAGAGTTTTAAGTAGAGATGAGAAATGATCCGATTTAGGTTTCTTTTTGATTAGCATTTTATTTTGAGAGCATTGTCGATTCACACACAGTTGTAAGAAAAAAGACAGAGAGATTCCATGTGTCCTCTCTCTTTTTTGGATCCCATGTACTGTTCATCTCCTTCCTCCCAATGGTGCCGTCTTGCCAAAGTGTACGATGTGTCATAACCAGAGTATCGAGATGTTGACATTGATACAGTCAAGAGACAGAATATTTTCTATACACCAGGTCCCCATATATTGCCCTTCTGAAGACACACCCACTTTCCTCCTGCCCCCAAGCTCCCCAAAACCCCTGGTAACCACTAATCTGTTCTCCACTTTTAAAATGTTGTCATTTCAAGAACGGAATCACACAGTAAGTGACCTTTCGGGAGCGGATCTTTTCCCTCATCATGATTTTCTGGAGAGTCATCCCGGCTGTTGGGTGTATGAGCAGTTCGTTCCTTTTTATGGCTGAGTAGTATTCCACGGTGCGGATGTCCCACAGTTAGTTTAACCATTTAGCTGTTGAAAGACATCTCAGTTGTTTCCAGTTTGGGGCTATTCTGAATAAAACTGTCATCAACATTCGGGTACCTTCAGATTTTTGCATGAATACAGGATTTCATTTCTCTGCGTAAATGCCCACGAGTGCAATTGAAGATTTTCTCCTATTTTCTTTCTAAAAGTTTTATAGTTTTGTGAAGTCCATGATGTATTTTGAGTTAATTTTTGTGCAAGGTGTGACGTTTAAGGCAAGATTTTTTTTTTTTTTTTTTTGTCTGTGGATATCCAATTGCTCTGGCACCATTGTTGAAAAGGCCATCCTTCCTTTCTTGAACTGCTTTTGCATGTTTGTCAAAAACCATTTGGGCGTATTTGTGTTGGTCTAAGTTCTCTGTCTTATTCCATTGATAACATGCGTCCACGGTTCTGCCAATACCACTAGGCCTTGCTTGCTGAAGCTATATAATAAGTCTTGAAATTGGATCGACTGATCTGAAATAGATCAGATAGAATGAGTTAGGATGTGCTCCCTCCTTCTGCATCTTTCTGGAAGAGATTGTGTAGAATTGGTATTAATTCCTCTTAAACATTTGGTAAAATTCTCCAGTGAAAACA